CTTGGCATTTATTGCTCAAACCACAAAATTGTTAGCTAAAGTTTTAGGGATTACTTGGAAATTGCATTGTGCCTACAGGCCTCAGAGTTCAGGACCGGTAGAGAGAATGAATAGCACACTAAAGGAAACTTTAAATTCTACCTTGAGACAGGTGACAACTGGGTAAGGCTCCTTCCTTTTGCCCTCCTTCATGTGCGCTGTACCCCTCATCATAAGGGTTTTACCCACTTTGAAATCATGTTTGGCCAACCTCTCCCTATTCTACCTAAAATCAGGGATGAGGTCTTAGCCAACCTAGGTAACCATAACCTCCTCAGCATTTTACAGGCAATCCAGAGGCTGAGAGAACAGACCCAACAGCGAATCAAGGACGCCAGACCCCATCCGGGGACACCCCAGATACCACCGCATGACTTCGCCCCTGGTGACTGGGTCTGGGTCAAGAAACATCAGCCTGCTTCCCTCGAGCCTCGCTGGACTGGTCCTTTTCCTGTTATCCTGACGACGCCCACCGCTCCGGAGGTAGCAGGATGAAAATTTTGGATTCACCACACTCAGGTAAAGAAAGCACATCCTGAGCAAATACCTGAGCAATGGGCCTTACAGTGGACCGAGGAGCCCCTGAAGGTAAAGCTCTCCGGGGTTTCCTCCTAGTCTCTTTCCTGACTCTGATCGCTGGTAAGGCACCTACCCACTTTAGATAACAGTTAACAATTAACATTATAACAATGAGAAGATTTATGGTCTCTGCCCTGGTGCATTGCTTATGCCCTGAGGGGGTCTGAAAAACCGGGGAGTTACTGTGACATCCCAGAGGAATGTTATAATAGATGCAAAAGACAGTAGGCTCAGTTAAAGTAAAGATTGACTTTTGTCAGGGAAGATTCTAGACTAGGACATGACTACCTGCCATAAACTGCTTTTAGTTAAAAAAAGTTTTTTAAAAGATTTCAGACCATCCTTTGTGGTGACTTTAGGTCTCTGCGTTTGCAAGGCCACCTCACAGGCCTTCCCCGAGCTTGTCAGGTTAGCATGTGGCCCCTTTTCCCCCACAGAGGCACTGGGAGATGATGTGGGGAGCAGAGGTACCCGGGCTTGGTCACCCACGCCCCATTCTGCAGCAGCTGCTTTCCTGAGAGGTGCAAGCCCCTGACAGCCTGGCCGAGGCAGTTCCCGCCCTCAGGAGTCCTGCTCCTCCCACTCTTGGATCCCCTGGCGTCAGCCTGCAGCCCCACCACTGCAGCAGCAGAGACGCGGCCCACAGGTCTGGCAAGTCACAGGGGCTTCAGTGACTAGTTTGAGGTGAGGCCATTCCCCCCACTTTCCATGACCTGGACTGGTGCTTCCCCATCACCGGCATCCGTCTCCCAAACTCGAAGTGTCCCCACGAGGCTTGCAAGCAGGGCAGCAGTGAGCACGGCAGTTCATTCCAGGCAAACTTCCTGAACTTGTCCCCAAGGCCCCCTTTTCTCTGACCGCTTAGTGAGCCGAAGCAGCCCAGCCCAGGCTTATTTCCCCGGCCCTTCCTTGTTTCACATTCCCAGCTTTAATAAGCATCCTCTAAAAATCACCTGGATTTGTGTCGTGAAACTTTTCTTACATGAAGTCAAGAACCCCCCCCCACTACCGGCTGGCCCTAGGCAGACCCGCTCCGGGCCAGGTCCCCTTTCTGGCAATGCCATTGTGTTCAAGTAGTATTTGACAAAGGAGGCAAGAGCACAATGGAGTAAAGACAGCCTCTTCAACAAACGGTGTTGGGAAAATTGAACAGGCACATGCAATAAAATGAAACTAGACCACCAACTTATATCATACACAGAATAAATTCAAAATGATAAAAGACTTAAATGTAAATTGCAAAACCATAAAAATCCTAGAAGAAAACACAGGCAGTAAAGTCTCAGGCATTTCACATAGCAGTATTTTCGCTGCTACATCTCCTAGGACAAGAGAAACAAAATAAAAAATAAATGGCATTATCAAACCAAAAAACTTCTTCACATAAAAAAAAAAAAAACACCAACAAAATGAAAAGGAAACCCACTGTATGGGAGAACATATTTGCCAACGATGCATCTGTTAAGGGGTTAACTTTCAAAATATATAAAGAACTCATACAACTCAACAAAAGGAAGACAAACAATCCAATTTAAAAATGGGCAAAACAGCCGGTGTGGCTCAGTGGACTGAGCATTGACCCATGTACTAAGAGGTTGCCGATCAATGTTTCTCTCTCACATTGATGTTTCTATCTCCCTCCCTTCCCCTCTTTCTTAAAAATCAATAAAAACATATTTTGAAAAAAAAAAAAAAAAAGGGCAAAAGACCTGAATACACATTTCTCAAGAGAGTACATACAGAAGGCCAATATGTAAGGACAGAAAATAGGCCTTTCTTTTTGTTATGATTTTTTCACAATTTATTAAAAGCACCTTGCCCGGCTGGTATAGCTCAGTGGTTGAGCGTTGACCCATGCACCAAGAGGTTGCCAGTTTGATTCCCAGTCAGGTCACAAGCCCAGGTTGTGGGCCCAATCCCCAGTTGGGGGCATGCAGGAGGCGGCCAATCAATGTTCTCTCTCATTGATGTTTCTATCTCTCTCTCCCTCTCCCTTCCTCTCTCTCTAAAATCAATAAAGAAAAAATATTAAGTAAATAGTAAAAGCACCCGAACATTTAACCCAGAGATTGTTGGCTCCTGTGACTCAAACCCTCTTCTGTTCAAACAGAACAGCAGCACCAGGTAAGTCACCAAGGCTACACTCTTCCACCTCCTCTCCCTGCTGTTACATCAGCTTCAGCCTGGTTAGTAAGAGTTTCTCCTCTTCAGCCCCCTCCCCTTCAGATAGGCCTCTCCCTTGTGAACTCTTTTTTTTTTAAATATGTTTTTATTGATTTTTTTAGAGAGAGGAAGGAAGAGAGATAGAAATATAGATGTGAGACACATCTATCGGCTGCCTCCTGCATGCCCCCTACCGGAGATAGAGCCAGCAACCTGGGCATGTGACCTGACTGGGACTTGGACGGGGACCTCTCAGTCTATGGGACGATGCTCAATCCATTGAGCCACATCAGCTGGGATCCCTCTTGAACTCTTTATAGCCTTTTCTAAGCTTATTTTACAGACAGGGGAAAGAATGATAAAGACATTTCCTCTCCTTTTCTGGGGGTGGAGGGGTGGGAAGAGATAAGCCAAAGAACTTGTATGCATATATGCACAACCAATGGACACAGACAACAGTGTGGTGAAGGCCTGGGGGGTGGGTGGGAGTGGAGTGAACGTGGGGGTGGTGTCAATGGGGGAAAAAGGGAGAACATCTGTAATACTTTCAACAATAAACATTAAAAAAAGGGTCCTGGTCAGTTTTCTCAGTGGTGAGAGCCTCTGCCTGGGACCAAAGGGTCGCAGGTTCAATTTCCAGTCAAAGGCATGTACCTGGGTTGCAGGTTTGATCCCTGGCCCTGGCTGGGGTCCTGTGGGAGGCAATCAATCGATATGTCTCTCTCACATTGATGTTTATTCCCCTCTCTGCCTCCTTGCCTTCCACTATATCTAAAAATCAATGGAAAATTATTCTTTGGGCGCTGGCCAGTTTGGCTCAGTGGTGGAGCGTCGGCCTGCGGACCAGAGAGTCCCAGGTTCGGTTCCCGCTAGGGGCATGTACCACACACACATACACACACACACACACAAAAGAAAATTATTCTTTGGTGAGGATTAACCAAAAAACTAAAAAGATTAAAAAAATGCTTTTAAAAGTAAATTTTGTTGATAAAAAATAGATTAAAATTTGTATTTTTTAATCATTTCCCTACAATATAGTTTTTCACTTCTTTTTGTTAGTAAATACAGTATACATATTATAAATGATATAGAAAAGTAAAAAATACAAACATGATAAATAAGCCTGGCTGGTGTGACTCAGTGGTTGAGCATAGACCCATGCACCAAGAGGTTGCCGGTTCGATTCCCGGTCAGGACACATGCCCAGGTTGTGGGCCTGATCCCCAGTGGGGGGCGTGCAGGAGGCAGCCAATCAAAGTTCTCTCTCACTGATGTTTCTATTTCTCTCTCCCTTCTTCTCTCTCTAAAAATCAATAAACAAAAAGAAGAGAGCCATGAGTACGCTCAGGCTTCCGAAGAGGCTGGCCTCAGTGTCCTCTGCTGTGGAAAAAGGTGTTGTTGGACCCCGGTGAGACCAATGAAAACGCCAATGCCAACTCCTGTCAGCAGATTCGGACGCTGATCAAAGATGGGCTGATCAACCGGAAGCCTGTAACTGTCCATTCAAGGTCTCGATGCAGGAAAAACACCTCGGCCCGCGGGAAGGGCAGGCATATGGGCATAGGTGAGCGAAAGGGTATTTATTGCCAATGCTCGAATACCTGAGAAAGTAACCTGGGTGAGGAGGATGAGAATTCTTCTCCAGCTACTCAGAAGATACTGTGAATCCAAGAAGATCTACCACCACATGTACCACAGCCTGTACCTGAAAGTGAAGGGTAACGTGTTCTAAAACAAGCAGATTCTCATGAAACACATCCACAAGCTGCAGGTAGACAAGGCTTCTGGCTGAACAGGCCGAGGCCAGAAGGTCTAAGACCAAGGAAGCTGGCTCCGGGCCAAGAAGGAGGAAATCATCAAGATGGTGCAAGGAGGAAGAAACCAAGACATAAAGCTTTGCCTCTCTTACCTGTACATAGTGGCCTTGGCAATTACATGGATCAATCATTTAATAAAAGTAGCCTTCATCTAAAAAAAAAAAAAAATTCTAAACCACTGCTCTCATACCACCCAAAGATAACCAGTTATTCTTAATGTAGTTTCTATCATTTTTTATATATATATTATTTAAAATGATCGCATAGAATATATATGTATATATACATACTAGTTATATACATATATGCATATATGTTACTTACGCCTTTTTTTCCTTATTAATCATGACCATATTTTCAATATCATGAAAATTCTTTTAAATAACAACAACAAAATTAATAAATATGGAACACTTCACAAATTTGCATGCCATCCTTGTGCAGGGGCCATGCTCGTTTTCTCTGTATCATTCCGATTTCAGTCTACGTGCTGCCGAAGCGAGCGCTCTCCTCTCCTTGCTGCATCTGCCTGCAGGAATGCCTCCCAAAGAACCAACAAGCTGCAGCTCCTCCAGGCAGCCCCTGGCATCTGCAGCTCCTCCAGGCAGCCCCTGGCATCTGTTCGGCTTCAACAGGGTCCCCTCCCTGCCCCGATGGCCCTTTACTCCCTAAAGCCCCCAGTAAAAGACGACTTTCTCTTTCTGCCCTGCCCTTGTGCTGCCAGTCAGTGCTGGGTCCTTTCCCTGACTACGGGGAAAGTAATACAATTCCTCCCTTTCTCTCTCTCGTAAATTCTTTCACAAGCCCAAATCCCCAGCCAAAACCCTAACACAATAGACATATGAAAAAATGCTCAATGTCACTAATCATCAGAGAGAAGCAAATTAAAACTACAGAGTGGTATTACTCGTGCCTGCCAGAAAGGCTGCCATCAATAAATCAGGAAAAGGGGTCCGAGGTGCTCTGTTGGCGGGAATGCAGACTGGTGCAGCCACTGTGGAAACAGTGTGGAAGTTCCTCAAATAATTAACCATGGAATTGCCTTTTGACTCAAGGAGTAGAGAAATATATCCTAAGAATCCCGAACCCCCAATTCGAAAGAATATATGCACCCCTATGTTTAGCGTTGTGTACAATAACTAGGAGCTGGAAACAGTCCAAGTGCCCATCAGTAAATGAGTGGATAAAAAAGCTGTGGTAGTCCGGTTGATGTGGCTCAGTGGCTGAGTGTCAACTCATGCACCAAGAGGTCTCCGGTTTGATTCCTGGTCAGGGCACATGCCCAGATTGTGGGCCTGATCCCCAGTAGGGGCATGCAGGAGGCAGCCAATTGATGTCCTCTCTCATTGATGTTTCTAATCTCTCCCTCCCTCTCATTTCCTCTCTGTCTAAAATCAATAAAGGAAAAAAGAAAAAAAAAGCTGTGGTACATTTACACAATGGAATACTTACGTGGCTATAAAAAAGAAGGATCAGCCAGGCCAGTATGGCTCAGTGGTTGAGCGTTGACCCAGGCACCAAGAGGTCGCTGGTTTGATTCCCAGTCAGGGCACATGCCCAGGTTGTAGGCCAGATCCCCAGTGGGGGGCATGCAGGAGGCAGCCTATCGATGTTCTCTCTCATCGATGTTTCTATCTCTTTCTCTCTCTCATTTCCCCTCTCTCTAAAATCAATAAAGAAAAAAATTTTAAAAAAAGGAAATAAAATAAAAAAGAAGGATCTCTTATCATCTGTGACAGCATGGATGGACCTGTAGATTATTATGCTAAGTGAAATAAGCCAGTCAGAGAAAGGCAAACACCATATGATCTCATTTATATGTGGAATCTAATGAACAAATTAACTGATGAACAAAATAGGTCCAGAGGCATGGATACATGGAACAGACTGACAGATCTCAGAGGGGAGGGAGGAGGAGGGAAAGGGAAGAGATTAACCAGAGAATGTACATGCATATATGCATAGCCCATGGACACAGACAATAGTGTGGGGAAGGCCTGGGTTGGGTTGGGTTAGGGGTTAAGTGGAGGGGGGCAAAGGGGAGGAAAATGAGGAACATCTGTACTATTGTCAACAATAAATTTAAAAAAAACACACTTTCAGTTATGAAAATATATTTGTATTTAATTCTTGGATATATGGAAATAGGAGACAAGTTCATGAACAAAAATAATCATTTAAAAATTTAAAATTAGCGCTGGCCAGTTTGGCTCAGCGGTTAGAGTATCGGCCTGTGGTCCAGAGAGACCCGGGGTTCGGTTCCCGCTAGGGGCATGTACTAAAAAAAAAAAAAAAAAAAATAGAGGCCAGCCACCAAAAGTCTCCTTCCATTGAAGTTAGCCAACCAACTGCTGATGGAAAATATTTTTCTGGAAAAATGTTATATTTTTGCTAATAGCCTACAATGGTTTCATCTATACTGAACATGTACTGTCCAGACAGTTTTTCTTGTCATTATTCCCTAAACAATCAATATAACAATTATTTACATAGCATTTACATTGTATTAGGTATTATAAGAAATCTAGATATGATTTCAGGTACACAGGAAGATGTTCACAGGTTATATACAAAAACGATGCTGCCCTGGCTGGTTTGGCTCAGCGGTTAGAGTGTCAGTCTGCGGTCCAGAAAGACCTGGGTTCGGTTTCCGCTAAGGGCACGGACCTCGGTTGTACTTTGTCCCAGGCTCTGGTTGGTCGTGAGAGTGGCAGCCACTCAATGTGTCCCTTTCACGTCGATGTTTCTCTCTCTCTCTCTCTTCCACTCTCTCCCTCCCGCTCTACCTGAACAAAAAATGGAAAAGTGTCCTCGAGTGAGGATTAAAAAAACAAAAAACAAAAACGATGCTATTTTATATAAAGGACCTGAGCATCCGCGGACTTTGGTGTGAATGGGGGACCTGGAACCAAACTTCTGCAGATAGTGACAAACGACTGTATATGAAATGTCCAGAATAGGTACTTTACAGACAAAAAGTAGATTAGTGGTTGCCAGAGTCTGGAGTGTGGGGAGAGGACTGCTAATGAGTTCAGAGTTTCTTTTTGGGGTGACTAAAATGTTCTGAAATTAGATGGTGGTCATGATTGCACAACTCTGTGAATACACTAAAAATCACTCGATTATACACTATAGATGGGCGAGTTGTATGGCAAGTGAATCGTATCCAATAAAGATGTATGTCTTCTAAATGTGCAGTATTACAAAAATTTAAATAAAATATATGTCGAATGTGATCGACTTGTTAGCAAAAGAGGCAGCAAAATGAACACACAGACGCGCCAGCTCAGAGGTGTGCAAGGTGCACGCGGGTGTGTGCACAGGCAGCTGGGAAAGTGCACCCCAGGGCTGCTGTTCCCCCCCAGGCGGGTGCCCCGGGATGGAGCTGGGTCCTCGGCCGGAGGGAGGAGGCCCGAGCCTCGAATACCCGATGCCACCCGCCACGGGAGCGTCGGGTTCTCGGGGGTCGGGAACCCCAAGACCAGCGTGCAAGCTCCAATTTAAACGGGGCGCTGCCAGGGGTTTTCTCCAGCGGCGGACAAAGATGCAAAATATCCCAGAGTGAATACCCGGGAGGGGTGTAGTTCAAACAACAAACCAAACACCCGCGCGCCCACCTTGCAGCCTGAGACAAAGGAAACTGCCCACTTTTCAACCCCCGGGGGTCCTTCCCCAGCCACACGCCCCGAACTCCCACCGAGGGGAGGAACCACCGTCCTGGATTTCGCCAGAAACTTATTTGCTAATATTTCCATTTCAATTCAACAGCAAAGTCTTCAACATAAAACAAACTTAGATGTCTAAATACATAAAACAGAACTCAAGGCTGGCGAGTACGGCGGCCAGATGCAGGCAGCCAGTGCCCCGCGGAGCCCTCCCCTACCGTGACGCAGGGCGCCCAGGGAAGACTAAGATATTTCCGGAATCGAAAAAAGGTGCCGCCCCTTATTTACATACCCACAATGCATCGCACCAAATCCAAGTTTAAAATGGTGAAACTTAAAATTTTTCCACTTGTATTTTCTAAAAATGAGAGGATTGTATATAGAGCCATCGGGAACTTTTTATTCAGGTACTGAAGCTTGGAATTAATTAGTCACCATCAGTATAACCAAAGTTGGTTTTACCCGAGGGGTGCGTTGCGGGGTTAGTTGAGTATCCTCTCTCTCTCCCATTTTTTTTGGGAGGCAACCTAATTTTTGGTGGCCTTGTTTCGACAAGGCTTAACTATGTGGTTCAAGAGAAGAAATACGAGTTTATTTTAGTTAACGTGGTTCCCCATTAACCAGGTTCTTTCTTTTAGTTTTTATTCAGTAGTTACATTAGCAGGTTTTCATTTTTGTTGCCAATCTAGACCATATAGTGTGATAGGTGTTACAAACTCTATGCAACAACGTTTCAAAAATAAACCGTTCGGATACCTAAAGTAACAAAAGTAGGTGCTCACAGAATTTCTCAAGTAATTGTACAACGAATGAAACTTTTCGAATAACGGTCTGCATGATGCTTCTTAGTTACTGCTTCAGTGTTATGGGAAAGTAGAGACAAGTGAAAAAGAAGTCACGGATTTCAGGAAAACGTTTGTGATTTGGGGGTATATTCATTTAGGTGGGATGATAACTCTTACAGGTGATGCATATACGCGTTTGCAGTCAATTTGCTGGACACGTTCTGATTCCATAGGTAAAACCATTTTTGTTAAGTCTGATGCCAATGCACATTTCACTCACCTGAAAACCTAAGGAACCAACAACAACAAACTCCAAGCAGTTTTGGCTCGGCTGGTGTGGTGTGGCTCAGTGGTGGAACGTTGACCCATGCACCAAGAGGTCACCTGTTAGATTCTTGGTCAGGGTACATGCCCAGGTTGTGGGCCAAATCTTCAGTGGGGGGCATGCAGGAGGTGGCCAATCTATGTTTTCTCTCATTGATGTTTTTCTCTCTCTCCCCCTCTCTCCCTTCCTCTCTCTTTCAAATCAATAAAGGAAAAAAAAAAAAAAAGCTGTTTTGAAAAGTCACATGTTTTGCTACCTATATTTGTCATTTTCTTTTTTTATTGCCTTACTCTGGAGTAGAAACAGATGGAATATTAAATGTTTAGAAAGCCAATTAAGTAAGTTAAGCAAAAGAATAAAAATTGATCAGTAATTCTGTGAGGAAGGAATTGACGAAAGAAAACAAAAATTTGGTTCACCCACAGCAGTCTGAGAACAGAACTTTGAACCAATCCAACAATTTGCGAAATCTTGAAGGAACCACCTCAATGATCTTTTGTTCAGAAAGATTGTTCCTTACTACCTAGCATTTCTTTCTACCCTTTCCCGCGCTTGTATTCTTTATAACTCTGCTGTGTAGTAGTTCAGGATGAATCCCATTTCAGCTGGCATCTGGCAGCATTTGGCAGAAGAGAGGAAGGTGTGAGGAGTTGGGGGTATGAAGAAGGGAAGAGCACATGGATTTCTTTCCTCCCTCTTTACCTTTGGTTGCATCTCTAGCAGTAGCTGTG